GGGGGGTACCGCGGCTCTGAGTTAATGCACATGGGTGGGGCAGGCAGCTCAACGGGATCATCAGCAAAGCCCCTCAGTACAGAGGAACAGACATTATGCAGATCTTCTAGTTGCTGGAAAGCTGGAGTAGCAGCCAGGATGGAGAAGTGGCCAGGGAGGGGAGGGAGGGAGGGAGGGAGGGAGGCAGGGAGGGAGGAATGCTAACAATAATGATCTCTGACGCTAATCCAGGTATTTCTCCCCCTTCTCCACCTCACTCGGAAACAGGATATTATCTGAACCTGACAGGCTCCAACATACTTCCCCATACGCTCAGGCAGCCAATGAGAGAAGGGATCTGGTTCACCTAATGATGGGTACACCAGCCCCAAAAACACAAGGGGGCTGAAACAGGAGAGAGAAGATGGAGACTGCATTCGGAGAAGGCAACATGTTTGTCTAGATGCAGTGTGTGGTCAGTCATAAGGGGAGATAATGTCCGGGGATTTCACTTTGTGAAGCCAGGCAGAGCCAGAGTGAGCTGGGACCTCACTGCCCCTGGGGCAGGTCTTGCTCTCGCCGTTTAATAAGCCCAGACCATAATCCCTCAGATCCTGTATTTGTTTATAAAAGAAAATTCCTCCAATAACCCTCCAGCCCACACAGACACAAGGACACTCACTGAGAATAACTCATGCCATTTATAAGCACTCAGATCCGTCAATAACGGGATATTACGAGGCTGCAGCTGCTTTAGTGTTTTAGCCAAAAAATGTTTCACTGCTAACATCCATCCAACAATTTAATTGAACCATAAAAGATGAAAAATATTTTCAACCACACAAATGGATACAGACACGCTGACGGGGGGATCACACACACACATAATGATGCAATGGTTTAGTTTCATGCAGTTGGTTACTATGAGCACAACAACACTCTGATGGGAATTCCTGGAGGTATAATACTTACATGTCTAAACAAAAAAAGGCCCTTGAGTGAAGAGAAGGGATCGTTATTGGCCAAGTGGTAAAACAACACATTCTAATGTAATGTAAAAAGTGAAGGAAAATTGCTGTGAAGCTCGTGTGTGTGGTCAGCAGATAGTGAGCGAGTGTGTCCGACAGAGGACAGAGCCACTTTCTTTTCATTAAGAGTGAGGGGAGAGGTGGGCTGTGAGAGCTCTGAGCTGCACAGTAATTAAGGTCAATTGGCCCATCAGCCTTTGGCAGCGCAGATGAATGTTTACCCAGAGTGAGACTAATTGCACTCTTATAAAAGGGGCCCGGGGTGTAGACAGATGCGCGTTGGAGTGTTGGCTCTCACAATCTCACACATACTGCCCCATGCTGGGAAAACCACAAACATACCAGAGGGCACGGCAATAATCCACTCAGCCGCGCCACTAATGACTGCAGAGGAGCTACCACCTCCGCTCTCCACTGTCTGGGAAGCGGCGTTTTTGTGGCAGAGGCACAGATAGAGATGGCAGTGGAGGGAAGCGAGGAGGTGGGGGGGGGGGGATAGATGGAGGGGTCCCATTAGGTTACTCAACACTGAGAGGGTGGGAGTGGGTTGACCATCAGTGATCAATTAGACACAAAGTCAGGTTTCAGGCCCAGGGGAGGGGGCTGCGAGGACAGCGGCGACAGAGTCAAAGGTTATCAGGGGAATCTGTATAATAGCCTCGTAGAGGGAGTAAAAACCCAGCCCACAGCTCTCCAGTAGGAGGCGCTATCTACCTCCACAATGAACCAAGAGTGTGGCCCTCAGTACTCTGCTAATGTAAAAAAAATCAGTTTGTCCAGCGTCAGAAATAATGTGTGTAGAAGTGCCGTGAAATCGAGGCTGACTTACCACCAATATTTTGGATGAGAATCGCAACTCCCACCAGAACCTAAAAAAAAAGAAGTTCAGAGTTAATACGTTTCTGAATCAAGTTGAAAAGTACAAGTGTGTGAGTTCCCTCTTTGCTGACAGGGTGAACTCACACAAATCCAAATGTCAACACTTACTTTTCCTGGTTTTCCCAAAGCTTTCCCTCCAAGATCTTCATAGGAATTGATGCCTGTGAGAGAAAAATCAAAAAACAATGAGACATGACGCAGTAGACTAGAATGGCACTCATGCCTCAACAACAACACACCTTCAACATCATAACTATATAATTCAATGGAACTGCACCACATTTCACCCTCTCATAGATATCAGATCCCTAAATGTGGGAAATCATTTTTTCCACCAAGATCCATGAATTATTCCTTTGGAAAGATAAAAAAATTCCTGGATCTGGAGCTGCTCCAGAATTCTGTTCCGTTATTTTTGTGCAATCTTGGTTAGAAATAGAAATACAGCAACAAACAAATAGACAGGGGTGAAAACATAACCTCCTTGTTGGAGATAACTACTCAAAGATGTATATAGGCTATATATGAAAAATTAAATTTAATAGGATGGTGCTAACATGACATTTAAATTTTTTAATACATTATATTTGTGAATTTATTTTGTAGAACACACAATTACAGGTAACGTGAGGCATTAAACACAACTCACACGTTATCAGCCATTAAGTTTGTGTAAAGAGTTAAATTCCTCATAGTTTTTCCTTTTGATATTTATTCAGTAGACACCCAAACATAAAGCAAATAACTCACAAAAAGAAAA